CCAGAGAAACATGCGACGGCTCAAAGACCATGCGAGTAAACATCTCTTGCAAATTGAAACAGCACAGACAACACCCGTTAGTTAATGTGATCAAATCAGCTGAGGAGGACCAAATTGCAAGAGAACTTCAAAAACCAACGCACGAACAATAAGCCAAGTGACACTTCCTTCCGGAATAGACAACCTACTGAACTGTCCAAGAGACAAAAGAAAATGTTATCTGCAACGGCAAGGCGCTCGACGCTCTTTAGTCGCGTCTAAGATGACGAACTATGAAGGTCAGAAAAGAAACAATCTGATGATTCAGACTCGAAGTGCTTGGTTCAACGGACTGCCAAAAAACAATATATGCGAATTCAGACTTTGCCCTCCTTGCAGGTAGCGGAAACCAGAAGAGTGGTAAACAAACTCCTGCCGTGACGGAGATCTTGACACTCAAATAGAAGCATCTCCAGTAGGAGATTGAACGTGCGAAAAGAAGAAAATGGGATGGAAAAGTCCCAACGAAAACAGCCTCAGTGCGGTTTCGGGATTTACGATCGCTGCCGCTACAATCCATGAGCCTAATTACGCTCGCCTGAGCGTTCACTTCATGTAAGCAAGAGCCGCTTATGTTGCCACTGGCCGGAAATTCCAAACAACCAATGTAAAGCTTTCTTTGGCTAGACCATTGAAACAGCTGGATCTCTCATTTTGTCATTACCACCTTCTCGACAGAAATCGCGAATGTTTTCCTGGGATTTTGAGAAACTGGCTCCCTCTACAATCCTTGGACCATCGTAGGATCCACATCATCTTGGACACCTTTTCCGACTAATAGAGCCATGTTCATAACCCGCTCATCCACACTATTTTGTTACCTAATTGAACCAAACCTCCGTAATTATAGCTTCTTCATGTCTGTCTGGGAATTGTTAATGAAAGAATTCGAACTTGAGAGAACAGGAAACCTATCGAACCCCACTGTAACACTCGAATGGTCCAAAGACCCCCTCAGCACTGTTTATACATTCACACGGAAAACAATGACGTATCGCAACAACAATGGATGTTCCAATGGCGAACAAGCAAAACAACGGACGGTGACAAGAGTGGATCAATGGACAAGTGAAAGCGAGCGAGTCACTAAGGAAAAAGGAATTGTGTGGGATTTGGACGGTGAAAAGAGGATAAGAACTCCACGACGGCAAAAATCCTTGAAATTTGCATGAACTCGGCCTCAATCCAACGACTTAGAAGAATTTGAGTGTTCTAGGGCCGATGACTTGTCAGGACCAAAAGAGGTGTATGCCAATGTATTTACTCGTAGGACAGTAGGTATCTGTTCATTGGACAACCATAGCTCAAGCCCGAGAACGATGGAAGAGAAGTTGGGACTGGAGGCCAACCGCCAAGCAGATAGCCGGGCCGCCTAAGTAAATAAGGACAGTATGATACCAAGTGGCCTACCCTAAAAGAATAGAAGGTTGGCTGACCTGAACAAGACTTGATCCGGCAGTCGATCCATGGACGTTGAGTGAGGTGGCGGCACCCGCTTACTACCTCCGCCGAAACCGTGGCTCCGCTCGAAGCGGAAAGGTACTCATTCGAAACAGTGTAAAACAGGATTCTGTAAGCAAGGCGAGTAGCAGCGCGCTGAGGGTAAAGTTAAGCAGCAGTGAAAACATTTGAGTGGCTGCAAAGTATGTACTTCTGTGGCCTTTAAGTTCGTTTGCGGGGCTTTTTTGCAGCGGTCGGCAACAACCGCTTGCAGAAACCCCGCAACCCCAAACTTTGCTCTTTGCTCCACATGCAGCGGAAGAATCGTCTTACACTAAATACAGCACTAAAAGTTTCGCACCCGAATTAGAGTCAACTAGAGGGACGATATCACGAATCGGATGATCTCTCTGGACATATCAGCAGGCTTGAGTCCCCTTTCCATAAGCGTGGCTTGCATATTAAGAAGAGAAGAACTAAGGGAAGAAAGTAGAGTAAGTGGATGAATGACCCGCTTCTAGTATTAAACCTGAGAAATTATTTCATCGACACTTAAAATCAAACTCGCATTGGTTAAGAAAAAAGGCGTTTTTTGAAAAAAGTGCGACGTCCGCCGACATATAAAACTTCTACGACAGGCTCGTGAATGGACAGAGAATGTTTCGGCATGAATGCGTAATGAAAATCAACAAAAGAGCGCCGAAGGATCATGGCGTAGTTGAGGCCCCTGTCGGGCGAAATTAGTGCAGACCCTGGCGGGCAAGTGATTCTCACGAAATCTGCCCTATTTCGCGGCGCTGTACAAGACGAGGGACTGCAAAAAGGAAATGTGAGGAAGGCCAACAAGATGACCAAGACAAAGCGCAGATGCCAGGGAAATGCCAGGATGAACTATGAACACCTTATATTCAGAGAAGCACGTCTCGGGTACTTTGTTTCTTGCTCTCATAAGCGCTCCCTCCTAATCAGCATCCCATGGAATTTCACCCCACTATCCTTCACACACAAAAGTGTAAATAATGTTGGCGAAGTATTTTTCGACAACTCAGAGAGAAATAGTAATAACTAGCGCTGCAGAGGTACTTGAGATGTAATCAGGAGGAAATGGCATTCAAGTGCGTCAAGCGCTGACTGGGGAACCTGATCGAGGCAAGGTATATGGATATTAAGTTTTATATCGAAATAAAACATCAATTGAAAGAGGGTTGCGGGCTACTGAGACCTTTTAAAACTACGAAATCTGACGTGAGTAATCCATGTAGGTTGCTATTCGCGACTTCTATCGATGCCAGAGCAACTGTATATGGTATGCACGGCACTACATACCGTAGATCAGGCCTATTGCAACTCAGTTTTGAGACGATCTAAGATGAGGGGCAACAGATAACGCCCGTAGATCATATCGGTCATTCTAAGCACAGCGATGCATTAAATGCAATAATCTTTACTGAAAAGAATGATCAAAGGCTCAGTTATTGAACAGGACTAACTGTATGCAAAACATTATGAAGTCCTGTTATTCAGGACTCTAGTTGATTACGATCGCAAATGTGTAGGCGTACAGTCCTCTTCAAAGTCGCTCGGATTCCTTCTGAGAAGATTCATTTTGAGCCTGAAAAGAAACACCAAAAACTTGCAGAAAGGAAAATTTCCATGCAACAGCTCCCAAGTAGGCTCACTTTCATAAAGGATTTGCAAAAAATCCTCCAGATAAAAAACTCCTCACCGTGAGCTCCTTAATCGTATTTTCCGTAGTTTCTTTCAGCTGTTCGAGTTTTGTAGTCATTGTGTCCTGAATATGTGAATAAAAAAAGAAAACAGTTTCGTTGCTTGATCAGCATATTAGATCCAAGAACTAGTGAAGAATAAGTGAAATGAAACGAATCTGATTACATCAAGAATCAGCGTGATGCGTAAAAGTGGAGGGGGATTGTGCATCTAATAGCTTCATAGATGAAGCGGCCTTGCATGAGCCATACTGTTTTGGGTGCTGTGAAGATTATAACTTGTAAATGTTGTTACGAATTACTGTTAGGATCCCTCGGGACGTCAAACGAACACCTGGACGACCGCCGGCCCGATGGTCAGACTTCTTCACGAAAGCTCTGAACGAAAGGAATGAAGGACTTCGTGTCCCTCGAGCGAGGAGGATCCACTGGACCACTCTAGCACGCGACAGGGACGAATGGAGACGTTGCTGGCGCCCGCTCGAGCAATTCGATGATCAACGGGACGACAGGTGATACAGGTGATTCAAGTTTGAGGCGATACCAGAGGGGGGGGGAGGTGGGAGGAGTGGGAGAGAATGCAAAAGAGCAAAGATAATCACTACAACTGAGTAGCGGAAGTATCATGAGCAGATCGGTGCCCCCCTATTCTGCTGAATTAACTTACCAGACCTGGGGCCGGGTGCAGCAAGCTTTAACGAGGGAATGGGGACCCATCCCCTCACCTCGAGGGGATGAATCCCCTCACCCCAAGGTTGGGGATATATCCCCAACCTTGGGGATATATCCCGGTTTCGTCACAGACCCATCATTTTTCGATGGGTCCTATGACGCGACCATGCGAAACGGTCACTGCCGTCGACCCTTGCGTCTCCGCCGGCAGGCCCATCCCCTCGTTGGGGCTTGCTGCACCCGGCCCCCGGGCTAACTCAGAACCAGTGTCAACCGTCGCGTGACGGTGATTTCACACTTTTTACGAGCACCTCACTCTTACGATGTTTCGTACTCAGGAGCAACCGTTCGCTCTTCCAATTCCAGTAATATGACATCAGCCTTAGGGGACGTCCCTCGATACGGCCCCCTCACGAATCCCGATTACCACCCTCATCATCAATGCAGTTTCTATAACCTATAATTACTGCCTCTGGCTATTTTAGCTGTACCGACACTGACCATGTAGAAAGCCTTTTTATCCTGTAAAGCCTTTCTAGAAAAGAACTGCACTTATAGGAGACTAAGCCTCCCCCACACAACGCACACTTTTGCCATCAACCTTAACTGAAACCTCTTGCACTGGCAACCGTGGATTTCTGTTCGTAACATGGTATCGCAATGATGAGCGGCGCAGAAGTCAAATAAAGTTATCACCAAATCACCACCAACCTCATGACACCACAAAACAATAATGCCTTCAGTTAAAACGCAAAACACTGAATTGGAATTAATTCTTAAATAAAAACTGATTGATTCGGCATGATGCCGCCGTTAGAGCAGTCATGCGGCTCAAATGAAACATTATGAAAACCTATAAAAGGAATGATACTACAAGAACTTCAATAAAACACTCACACTATCGAAGTGAACGAATGTTTGTCCAATCTTAAAGGGGATCGAGTCGCTGTCTTCGGGGTCCAACAGCATGATTTCGTCTGCAGCTTCGTTAATGTTCAGTAAGTCATTTGAAAGCTCTTTGATTTCTTCCTGCAATTCGCCAAATTTCTTTTGCGGCTTTTATAGTTTTTTTTCTTCTGCACAGATTGTTTTCGGCTATCAAATATAATACACACTGCAATGGGATGCCGTGATATGAGATAATTGACAGAAACAAGTAAGGCGGATAAGGCAAAGTACGGGTAGTAGTTAGGATAATGTGTGACAGTTGGGCACCTCACACTGCGATGCGCGTTCAGGTATCAAATCGCTGGGTCGTGGAGGTCGCCCAGGATTCGGTGACTATGACATCGGGCTGGCCCCGCAGTATTGTATATAGGCCACGTCGGATTTTCAAATGCTCACTGCGATGTACCAAGGAAAGTAGAATGCGGTGCGCATCCAAGACGAGACGGCACATCAACAGTCAAAGCTTTTTAAGCTTTAAGTGTGAGACACACTGCATATATGTAACGATAATAAATCATATTGTCATCGAGTTCTAGTTGAAGTCGTCACCAATCTAATCGGAAAAATTCGCATTTTGCTGAAGGGATAACCTATTTAGGCAGTATACCTGAGCGGACTACCCATCTAAGATCTGAAGCGGCCTCACGCTGTTGTCAGTGGGTTATCTGTTTCCCTCAACGCATGGCTATTCGTATATTAGTGCGACTTACTCCCAACGAAAACGAACTCAAACAAAGGATTAACCTCAACGTAATTCGAGGTTTTTGACCCTGGCCTTGCATATCCTTTCAAATGGTCTACTGACAAATTCGACTGTTGCGTGCAGTTTTTCAACTACTGGGATTGCTCGCGAAGCCAACTTGTTACCCTTAATCTATGGCAAACGCAGCTGTATGTAGAGTACTTTACATTGTAGCTTACTTATCGCACGAACTGATGGAGACGATTGGCATAGAGTTGTCCCACACACAGATGAGCATTCGTCGCCGCGAGAACCGAATCAGGATAATGTGGCATTTCACTCAAACTTTTTTCAGTTCAAAATTGAAATTTATTTTGAAATAGTGAAGCTCATCCAAACAACTCAAAATGTAGCAAGCATTTACTGGGATAAACAAGACAAACCTTGATTTGGGAGAAATTCTGATGTAACCGAGCAAATTTGTTGATGAGCTGTTGATCTGCACTTGTCACAGTTGGAGCTGCCATGACCTGTCAAAATGTACAATGAGATTTTTACAGTTGAGAGATATGCATATTGAAAAGGACAGGTCGAACAACCAAAAGATGTCAGCCAAAAAGGCGGAGTGAAAACCTGCTCCGTTTCCATTCAAGCAAAGTTTTGGATTGGGTCATTAATTCATCACTAGAGCGCCGCTAGTTTGGGGTCAACCCTGGCGGACGGATTATGAAAACTATTTCCTTCTGAAGTTAGCGAACAAGTTATAGATTGCTAGGGTCTATTCCAGTTAAGGGGGCATCATGATGCAGTTTCTCGGCGAACTAGTGTGAACTCGAACATTCCAGCTTTTCACGCATGTCAAGTGACTGCCCTCACCCCCACCCCCTAGACTGGCTACACTCCCCCTGGCTCGGAGTTACCCTAGCTTTCTGGAAAACTGCATCATGATGCCCCCTAACTGGAATAGACCCAATTGCTACCTGAGATAGCATTTTCTAGTCTATTCCCATGGAGGGGGGCTTTTACGCCCATACATATATACATTACAATTATACAGTTTTCCATGGCGACTTTTGTTGGAAAAACAAAGAAAACTCGAAGGGATTTTGGTGCTATACAAGTAGGGTGGGCACGCCGCATTTTTTGAACAGAAATGTATGTAAGTGGGACTGCTGCCCGCTACTATACTGTCACGAGAATCGGGGAATTCGTGAGCCAGGGGAGTGTAGCCAATCTAGGGGGTGAGGGCAGTCACTTGACATGCGTGAAAAGCTGGGCGTGCCCACCCCACTTGTATAGAGCCGGGATTTTTTTCCATTTTACGATTTTTATTCCTAAAAACCAAAAATGGGGATGGTTTTCAGTGAATCAAATTCCGCAAAATTATCTTACGATCAAATACAACATGGGCCGCAATCGCGTCGAAGGGTTATCATTGTACGCGCAGAGGGTTTGTCGTCGGCCCAGTCATACTTTTCAGTCGCGCGGTCGTGCGGTAATGTTTTTTCTTCATGAAGAAGATACGTATCGATCACATCTACGGTCGCACGATCGCATTCGATCTCTATCTAACTACACTCAAATTTCAAACGCAACTGCTGTATAATCTGGCCCCCAGCCTCGGGCGGCTAAGTAGGTATCCAAGTAAGGTTGGCAACTTTTCTGTATGACAAAGACGGAGTACGCTTATTGTTGCCATACTCGCTTTTCTCCTCAATCTGTCAACGTCTTGGAACAGTGTGTGTTCGTTGGTCCTTTTTCAATGTTGTTACTATATGATTTAGAGTGGATCGAGCACCCTGGCGAAAAAGAGCTCGAGGTGTTCGGGACGCATTGAATGAGGTCAATGGCCTCAACAAAGCGTCATCTTCAGTATTCTTCTATAAGGCCGATGTCAGACTTTGCGAATTCGCGCGATTCGCTAGCGTCTGCGGTCGCGTCGCGGCCAGTGAATCACTCAATTGGCTGGTA